TCGTGATCCGCCCGCCTCGGCCTCCCAAAGTGTTAGGATTACAGGCGTGAGCCACCGCGCTCAGCTGTATATCTACAATTATTGTCGATTTTTTTTTTCAGATGGGGTCTTGCTCTGTTGCCCAGGCTGGAGTGCAGTGGTGCAGTCTTGGCTCACTGCAACCTCCGCCTCCCGGGTTCAAGCAATTCGAGTAGCTAGGATTACAGGCGCCTGCCACCATGCCCAGCTAATTTTTTGTATCTTGAGTACAGACAGGGTTTCACCCTTTTGGTCAGGCTGGTCTCGAACTCCTGCCCTCATGATCCACCCGCCTTGGCCTCCCAAAATGCTGGGATTACAGGCGTAAGCCATCGCGCCCGGCCTGTACTGCAGATTTACATTAAAATCATAACACCTACAATTATTGTATTTTAACGGTAAGTTTTCTATTTTAAAGGTATTTATTTTCACTTTACTGGTCTAGTTTGCAAGGTAAACAATAAACTATTTTTTTCTTTGAGCTCACTTTTAACCTCAAGAAGTTTCTGATGAGAAAATGTTCTCCAGTGGGTGAATCATCAGGCCATCCTCCCCCTACCCAGCTACCAATCACGAGGCTACCAGTACCTCTGCTCGAGTACCACTTGAGGATCAGGGATCCCCTCACATCCGGGCCACCCTTCCCTTCCCTACCACCTGGAGCGGGAGTGGTTGGCAAAGACTGGAATTAGGGGCATCTCTAACTCAGTACATCTGTTGGAGCTGTGCCTCAGAATACAACGCCACTCTGGAGCTGTGTGCTGAGAAGAAAGGGGAACTGGGTTTCTCATCACTCTTGTGCTCAGAAACCCTGTCCCAACAGGCATCCCCCTCGCTGAGGGGGTGGGATTAATTGGCCAAATACTTGTATATGAACTTCCAGATCTGCAAGGGCCACCCTTGTTCTTTCAAACATTGCCTTCGGGAGATACTGCCCAGCCAGCGGTTCAGAGTTGGGAGAAAACCCTCGCTAAACTGGCTCAGCAATTCCCCAGGAAGGCTCACCCCGCAGGACAACGCGAAGACACAGTGATCCCAAAGACCTTAGTGTCTTGGTGGGGGGGAGGGGGAAGAGGTGGGGGGCTTTTCCGCTTAGCTTTCCTAAGCGTTGCCACGGGACAGCTCTCGGGCTACGTCAGGGTAAAGAGGCCTATATGGCCACACCTCGCACCGACCAGCTACCCCCGAAAGACCTTCTCCTTCCAAACTGCAGGGTGAGCACAGCGAGAGAAAAGGTGGCATAAGAAGAGGCGAACAACTGCGGTTCTTAAAGCCTTGTTTGCGTTTGGGCCCGCGCCGAGTCACAGCTAGAGGTAGATCCCGCTCCCGCGCGTCCGCTATCAGCCCCGGGATTCCCAGAGAGGCCTCTCAGGCCCTTCAAGACCCCCCGCTTCCGGCTTCCCGGCCCACACCTCTGAACCCTCAGGCCCTGGCCAGCCTCTATCTCCGCCTTTCGCGGCCCCGGCTCACCCTCGAGCGTCTCGCACTGCACCAGGTTGAGGTAGTCGGCCTGGCTGAGCACCCCGGCCTTCAGGCCGCGCACCAGTCCCTCCAAGTAGCCATTGTCCACGTTAAAGTAAAGCTCCGGGAAGAACGACATGGCTGCTGCGGGAGCGGCGGGACCAGAGAACCTGGACCGGCTGGCACGAATCGCGACTCCCAAATCAGCTGACGCGGCGTCTTCAGTGGGCTGTCAAGCGCGTCAGGTGACGCGCAAGCGCCTCACGTGACCACAAGGGGGCGTGGCTCTGAGCAGCTCCCGGCTTCCGGGTGGCTGCGCGGCAGCGCGGCGCAGGCGTGGGCTGGAGACGGTCCTATGGCGCCTGCGCACTAAGAAGAGGACGTTTGGGGCCGGCCGCATGGTGTCGCCCGCGGCCGCAGGGATTTGACTGGACCCTCTACCTTTCCCGGTTTTGCTGCACTTGGCGCTGCAGGGGCGGTCGGGGCAAAGAAAGGAGCCAGCCTTTCTCAAGCTTGCAAAGTTTTCAAACTGCTGGGCTAGCCTCCTCCCCAGAGGGAAACTGAGGTCCGATAGAGGCAGGAGAATAGGGTCTAGAGGCGGGGAACTTGAGGCCAATACGTGCTGAATTCTGAAACTGAATCAAGGGAAAACACCAAGGTCTGGGGGCAGGGAACGTGAGGCCAACTAAGGCGAACTTCCTAAAGCTAAACCAAAAAGAAAAGCCCCATCCCCCCATGTCCGAGTAACAAAGGATCAAAAGCCACTGTCCCCACAAACCTTCCCCATCCACCAAGTCTCATTTGAAAGGGAGAGTGCCTTGGATTGGCTGCGGGCCAAGTATGGGCCATCCCTTCATCTGCATAGGGCGCCAATTCTCCTCAGCCTTATTTGTGCCTAGTGTTCCACTATTGGAACGCTAAGCATATGGGAGTTATTTATATCCTACTGCTCAAGGTAATCGCCAAGGTCTGATTGCAAAAATGCAAAAGATTGCAACGTCAGGCATAAATGGGTTAATTAGCCATGGACCAAACCCTTCATCCAGATAAGGGGTAAGGGACAGGGACCGCAAAAGGAGTACTTAAAACCCAGAAAACTTTGTAACTGGGCCCCTTGAGCCTCTTGCTCAGGCCCACTCCCACCGTGCGGGAGTGCTTTCTCGCTTTAACAAATCCCTGCTTTCTGCTTCCTTCCTGTGTGTCATTCCCTTGTTACTTTCTGGGTTTTGTTCAATTCTTTGTTCAAAACGCTAAGGACCTGAACAACGCACACTCCCTGCCTTCCGTCTGGTAACAGGATGAGGGGCAGGCATTGTGTGGAAGTAGCAGCAAGCAAGCCCTGGAGCCTAAGGCTTATTCATTAGCCAGGAGTGATAGCCCCTGTGCCATGCTGCGTCCTGCTTTCCAAACCACACTTGCTGTACAAGATTTTTGAAAGCTGGAGTGCGGTTCTTCTCTACTTTTCCCAGGGGCGCCAGGACCCCTAAAAGCGCCTGTGTATGTGCCTCCTATGTTGGGGTAGCCCGGGCCCTGGAATAAGAGTACGTGTGGTTTCTTGGCTTGGCAACACTCCCACCCCCTCCATGAACCCTCCCTCTTTTGACGGCCACGTTTGAAATAATCACAGCCTTGGGGTTGGTCCCATCCTTTATTCGCATTTGCTTGCCCCTACGCTAGCCCTGACCCTGACGTTGGCCAGCTAGGTGCGGCTGCAGGGGTTCATGGCAGTACCCAGCTTGCGGCAGTAGCAGAAGGCGTTGAAGAAGCGGCAGTAGCATGTGGCACAGGGGTCACAGCAAGGCACCTGCTGTCCCAGGCAGGACTCATGCAGCCTTACGCAGCGACGTGAGGAGCGGGGCTCGCGGTCCTGCGAGTCTAGTACCTGTGGGTGTGGGGAACCAGGAATGTGGGCACAGGCCTCTAACTACAGGTCCAGGGACCTTACCTGTCCCAACCTGTGCAGCATGGCAATGGAGCATGGGGAGAGGTGGAGCTGGGGAGAGGAGCTAATACCCAATGCCCCCTCCCAAGGGCCACCACCTTACCCTTTTCCCCGAGCAGTTACCTCTGCCAAGGCCTGAGCCTCCTGCAACAGATCCTCTTCTGCCAGTTCTGCAGTTGTCTTCTTCAGTGGGGCCCGCAGGCCCAGGCCTGGGGCAGAGGATGTGAGGGCAGGAACCCCCCCCCAAGCACAAAGCACCCACCTCCCATGGGAGGGTTTGGGAAGGGAGAAAGAGGGTTTTATGCCAGGGGAGACAATTTGTGGCCAGAGGGTATTCAGGCCCCGCCCAGTCCCACCCTTGCTCACACTGACCTGGGAGCTCTGGGAACAGGGCCTGGTCAGGCCTTCTGATGCCCTCCAGGGGGGCCAACCCCATCTGGGCTCCTTGCGTGGCAGGCAGTGCCAGCAGCAGGGCACAGCTCAGCAGTGCTGCAGTCAGCATGGCCTGGCTCAGCAGGAAGACGCACCACTTAGTCCCTCCTAATCCTTGGAGTCCCCTCTAGATGCCCAGATAGAGACCCCACAGAGAGGAGGAGTCCCTGCCCAACCTGAGAACTCACCTCTGCCTCCGGGATTCTTGCCTAGAGAGTTCCTGGCCACCCCGTGCCCTCGGCTTATATGGCAGGGCCTAATAAAGGGCCACACGTGACTGATCCCTGCAGCCAGGCTGTGAAGGGCCCTTCCTGGAGGGTGGGGGCACAGTTCAGACCCTCACTCCCTGAACCTGAGCCTTTTGTTCTCTAAGAGGGGTGCCTATCTCCAATTTGGGGTGAGGTTTCCAGGAGCCAATTACAATTTGGGAGCCAGAGAGGGTGCCCAGGGTCCCCAAATGTCCATGGGACAGGGACCTAGGAGCCGAGCAAGGCCGGAGCCATTAGCAGTAACAAGGCAGGCGGCCCTGAAAGCTTAATTTAATTTGTGGCCCCAGAGATGCTTACTCAACTCCTATGTGGCATGTTGTTTCCTGTGCTTCTAAGAATTCAGATCAAGGACATTGGAGAGGGTGATGGGCCAATGGCCACTGTTGGGCAGAGGTAGGTGCAGAACTAGACCCTGGGTTTCTTTGGAGGGAATGGGGAGGGAAAAACCCACCTAACCAATCCCAGGCCCTCCTGACTGCATTTCTGGTCCTCCCCTCCCTTTCTCCCTCCAGGTCTTTCCAAGACCCCCACTCCTGCTCCTGTCCCCAAACCCCTTTCCGCCTGGGGTTCCTGGAAGCCAAGGAAACAGAACGAACTGTTCCCTGGGTGGG